GAGGCTGAGGTCATCACCACAAAGCCAGCCTAACAGGCGGGGAAGAGAAACAAACCCCCACTTGTCTGTCTGTCTGTATGGGTGTATGTATGTGTGTGTGTGTGTGACAGACGGACACACACACACACACACTGCCCCAGTCACCCCCTGCCTCCTCTCTTGGCTGCCCATGAGCAAACACACCTAGCTATACTGGATACCGCGTGTGACAAGTTTGTGACACTTTGCCCTTGCCTCGATTGTGTAGTGTGTGTGTGTGTGTGTGTGAACTTTATAGCTTCCCCACAAATAACAGGACACACACACACACACACACACACACACACACACACAGACGCACAAAGTCAATAGCACACCTAAATTTAAACACACTTGCACTTCCAGCCATCAGACACCTCTGCTGGCACTCCTCTATCTGGCATCACACACACACACACACACACACACACACACACACACAGAGTTATTGGTCTGTCTGACAGTATTGGGTTCATTTTCAGTTCACTGACATTTTGGTGACACAGTCCTCAGCCAGCTGCCCAGTGGGCGACCTGCGATGCCTTCATATCACATGGAGCTAATCGACCTGGATGTAGTAGACTGAAGGCATGTGGGTACTGTGAGCTCTGTTCTAAAACAAACCTTCTTTTCTTCTAGGCGTCCGATCCCATCCCGATGAAAAAGTCCAAACATGAAGACCTCCCGTCACAGTCCCCGCTGGCCGACAAAGAGAAGCAGCACGACTGGCTGCAGTCCTTGTCTGCCTCCAATAAGGTTGGTGTCAGGAAGGAGATGCTGGCCATGAGGATCGTGATGCATGAGATGAGATGTCGTGTAATATTATATGGAAGTTTTGGGATGAGGTTAGTGCTTAAATTTAGATTTGGCTGCTGCGCTACCAGAGGAGGTAACCGTAGACGCCATGAGCCCCACAATGGAGAGGAGCTAGAGAGAGCTGTGAAAGAGAAGATAACCACAATGTAATGATGGATGTCCCCTGTGAAGATCGATACTCACTCAAACTAAATCTGCCATCGAGTAATACTTAGAAGGTCTTTGGCAAATAATCTTCACACTGACCCCTGTCCAGTCACATTACACGTCACTTTTTATAGCACAGCTGGTCACACGGACACCTCAGTGGTGAATATTCACAGCCTTCAGTGTTCAGCTCTCTAAACTAGCATGATGTGGATAACCTGCCATTTTTCCTGGATCACACCAAGAAGCAAAGACTGTAGTGTTGTATGTGGACTGCACGCCGGTACTGATCCGTGTCGCTGCATCATTACAGATGTTCTTCCTCCATGACTTGTGAGTTGAAGCTTTTTTACTCTCCTTTCAGGGGATCAACTGCATTCAGCCCCGGCAGAGGCCCTCAGCCTTCAGACCGTGGTCCCCCCACATCTCTGCTGGTGATAAGGAGCCGTCCAGCCACCCTCTGGCCCTGCTCAGAGACAGGTGAGCCCAGACACCATCACCACCACATCCAAAATGGAAGACAGTGTCACCAAGCAACACTTCAAAAATCAGCTGAAAACAGTGAAGCATGTAGAGTCTGTGAGGAGCTTTCAAGGCGAGGACGGTAGCCGTTCTGTTCAGCTGGATATGATCAGCTCCCAGCATGCGCTCTCACTTGTCTGGGTGGGCTGGTGTCACAGGGGTCAAGTCTGACTCTACCGCAGCCTCCCACACGCCACCATTCACACACATTTGACACACACTCATACTGTGGGCACCCACTTGGCATGGTGCTGCCAGTACAGGCAGCGCCATATCACAGTTGATCTGGCCCACTTTCTCCTGAAGTGGGAGGAAAGAGCTGTAGGCACTTTATTTGAATGTTTCTCTACCCTGGTTGGCATCGGCTGTTCAAATCAGACCATACAATATGGGACAAACTGTCTCTGCTTACATTCACATTCATCTCGTCCTAATGAAGCAGCCTGATGTAGATGGTGGTTCTGAGCAGCATGCAGTAAAACTGCCTGATGATTTTCTTTCAGCTTCTACAACTACAAGAGCCTGGAGAACGCCGTGGCCCCCAACGTCGCCCTCACACCACTGCCTATTGGGAAGGTGGGTCCTATGTCCCCGTCGGTACCCAGCACCTCACACCCAAGTGGAGGTGAACCCCCAGGTGAGGGCGCCAACCCCAACTCCAGGCCTCGCAAGAGAAGAGCCACAGGAGAGCTCCCGCCGCCGGCGCCGGAGGTCCCCTGCTTTCCGTCCTCCACTGCCAGCAAGCCGCCACTGCCGCCGCCTCAGGACGACAAAGACTCCGAGGTGGAGATCGAAGTCGAGAGTCGCGACGAATGTAAGCAAAGGCCTGTGATTGGATGGTTTATTCCAGAGCTTGGCTGACCGGCTCAGCTGATCACTGCCAGGACGTCTCATGGCTTTAATCTCACCCTCTCTTGTGTCTCTGTTTTGCCCCAACAGTCACGTCGTCCCTGTCCTCCCTGTCCTCACCATCTTTCACCTCGTCCAGCAGCTCAGCCAAAGACTTGAGCTCACCGGGAGTCCAAGGGCCCATCTGCACTGTCACAGCGGCCGAAGGCGCCGCCCCCGGAACCGCCCCCGGAACCGTCCCCGGAACCGCCCCCGGAGCCGCCCCCGTCGTAGCCCCGGTGACTCCTCCAGAGCCGGGCCTGGAGTCGGAGCTGGAGAGCCTTCGGCAGGCGCTGGACAGCGGACTGGACTCCAAAGAGTCAAAGGAGAAGTTTCTTCACGAGATTGTTAAGATGAGAGTGAAGCAGGAAGAGAAGCTGGGATCAGCTCTGCAGGCCAAGCGCAGCCTCCAGCAGGTAGGGTTCCATTCAGGTGGACGTGTCCTCCTATCAGAGGGGAGAACAGAGATCAGCTCAATGAGCTCGTGCTATAGACAAACTGGAGATGTGTTGAAGGCAGAACTAAACTGCCAGCAGCTCCACATCCAACACAGACATTTATTCTGAACTTCATTCATCAGCTTCCAGTCGTGACCTGGACTCGACCGGTCTGACTCTGAATTATGCCCTGCAGTGAAATGCTTTTAGAAAAATATCAAAGCTCTATTAGTTCACTGCTAACTGTTCGTGTTAGAAAAGAAAACAGGTCAGCGTGTAATTTTAACCGTATTCACTCAGACAGTCAACAGAACGGTCCTCAGGGACAAGCAGACTGCATCGGACCCGTCTCCAGTGACCTGACACTTGGCTTGAACTCGTCTCATTCGACCTGAGAGTGAGTTTTCTGGACTGATTTGAGACTTTGGTTGGACCAGGAGGCTTTAAAGTGGCTCCGCTGCAGACCGTTTGTCAGACCAGGCGACTGATTCGACGTTCTGCACACTCACTGATTTCATGTTGGTGATGTAACGTTAGCTGATGTTTGGGATTTCCCTAAAACCAGACAAACCTTAAACATCTCCTTCCATTTATGAGATCAGAGCAGACAGAAACTTTTCAGAGCTGGCACGCTGAGCAAATTACTTCAGCTCAGGCATCAAAATGCAGAAGTGGATTAGAAGTCCTGACTGTCCGCAGAGCTTAGCATGAGTTGGCAAGTGATAACAATGAGAGCGGATGTTGCAGCGAAGGGAAAGGCCAGACTTCCATTTTATTTTTGGTCTTGGACCGACAACAAGTAAATGCCGACGAAGGAGTCTGTGTGGGTGAGCAGCACAAGATGCAGCCTGAGCAACGAGAACCGATTCCAGCACCACAGAATTCCACTTTCGCTTTCCATCAGGGCCAGAGAGGAGCTGTGGAGCGGCACCACAGATCCAACCGGCCTCCAGGCCAAATCAGAACCGGTCCTTATAACTGGCTGGTGTCCGTGTTTAGCTGAATGGACCCTGATCCTGGTCGGACTGAAGGGTTCTCATGTAGAGTAAAGGGCGTGATGGGGATTGTTTCTTTTCACTCCTTCTGTGGGACTCAACAAAGCTCGATGACAGACGTGTTTGTCTCAGCTGCTCGGTTCCCATGAGAAGGCGATGGGCGTGTTGCTGCAGCACACACACACACACACACACATTGACACTCTTTCAGTGATTCTCAGGAAGGAAACCCAGCTCCTGTCAGCCCACACGTCGCCCTAACCCCTGACTTGGCCCAATGTAAACACTGACATGGACACGGCAGCCTCCTGTAACGAGTCTCTCTCAGGTGTCAGCACAGTGAAGCAGCCACGTGACTGATACTGTGTCCTCTGGCTTTCACAGCCGTTACATAAGCATCAGTGGCTCTCCCCAGGTATCGCTCCGGATCGGGCTCGTTTACGCTAACGTCTACCATCTCTTCTTCCTGACAGGAGCTGGAGTTCTTGCGGGTGGCCAAGAAGGAGAAGCTGCGGGAGGCGACCGAGGCAAAGCGCAACCTGAGGAAGGAAATCGAGCGTCTGCGAGCTGAGAGCGAGAAGAAGATGAAGGAAGCCAACGAGTCACGGATCCGTCTGAAGCGGGAGCTGGAGCAGGCCCGGCAGCTTCGGGTCTGCGATAAAGGCTGCGAGGCCGGACGTCTCCGCGCAAAGTACTCGGCACAGGTCAGTTAGCACATGTTGAAGAGGCTTCGTCCAGCGACAGGCTAACAGGTTCTACGATTAGATTAAACTTTAGTCATCCACATGTGATGTATTTGAGGAACACTGGGGTGAAACACAACCAACCACCGTAGACTTTACTAGACTACTGGGTGGAGATGCGGTGGTAGAAGTCTAGACGATTATATCAACACGCTAGTGCTGTTTTTCACTTTCTCAAATACTCTCAAGGTCAGCAGAGAAGGCACGGAAAAAACACATTTCCTTTTCCCCGAGCAAAAATAAATGGGTGTAGCCCTGAGACGTATGATAAGTCCCCCTCAGAGCGGAAACAGGAAGAGACGTTGACTTCCCTCAGGCACCATGGGAAATGCAGATTAGACAAAACAAGAAGGAGGTTATGCTCTCTCGCTGTGCCGCTCTGCACAGGCTGCACTCGTCTGTACAGAGCTGTCACCAAGACGCTGCAGCCAATAGAAACCTTCAGCAGTTTAAAGACAGTAAAATGGAATCAGATCAACCAGCAGTCATCCTGTCAGACACAAGTTAGATTTCTGGTCTTCAGTGCAGCTCGATCATGACCTGAGAATCCCTGAATGATGACGTCTCAGCAGAAGTTGCAGTATTTGGTCTCTGCTCGGACTAAAAGTCATTTTGTTCTGTCACACAAGTTCAGTAAGTCCACTGGTGAGTGGTGGAGACGGGCCAGACGAGCCAAGATCAGCAAGTAAGACCAAGTTAGACGTGTGAGGATTGAGGAGATGCTTTAGTGTTGCCATCAGTGATGAGGTTCTTTGTTTGTTTTCTTTACGTTTCTGCATTCGGACAGTTTTCAGATGGCGTTCTGGGTCCGGTCCGCTCTGCTGTATAGTCTCAGTGGACTCTGTCTTCTCTCTCTCCAGATCGAGGACCTCCAGATGAAGCTTCAGCACGCTGAAGCCGACCGCGAGCAGCTCCGAGCCGACCTGCTGCAGGAGCGGGAGGCCAGGGAGCACCTGGAAAGGGTGGTGAAGGAGCTCCAGCAGCAACTCTGGCCCAAACCCACCAGCAACAAAGACGGGACGCCCAAGGACACGCCAGCTGACAACTAGCCCAGCAGTGGGTCCCACTGCCTGACCATTCCCTCTCATTGCCATGATCCACCCCAACATCCTCTGCCCTTCCAAACTACAGAACACACCCAGGAGACCCGGGACGGACGTATTGTGTCGCCGTCCCTCACACTCGCCCCCCAGAACACAAAAACATGCAGCGACTCTTGCTCTCCAACCAGAGACAGAACCAGGAGCGTGGAGCTGTGCCCTGATCCGCAACCATCAACAGTCTAGTGAGCGACTCCCTCGGAGAATGACCGGAAATGGCAACAAGGAAACACGTGTTTCTAAATCAAGCACTGACTCGCACCTTCCACACTCACAGAACTGAAAACTGGACCACAGCGAACAACAGAGAAGAGCTTATTAGCACAGTGTGGCCGTGGACTGTGCTGATCACTGCTACAGGAGGTCACATTGGATGGAGTCACACAGCTGTGGAGAGGTGGTGCAGCGGCTCCTCACAAGGCCTCCACGGCTTTCTCCTGCCACCATGAAGACAGAGGAGTTTGAAGACATTATAAGCTATTTAAGAGACTACATAGCGACGTGTGAGGAGACAGAAGAGCCTGTTTCTCTGTTGGAGATGGAAAATATGAAAGAAACAAATAAATCAGAAGATGAACGTCCCACAGCGCCACCGTGGTTTTGTTGGTTTTTCAGGAAGTCGTCTCAGTCCACCGGGACGGGGAACGCCGCCCCTCACGTCTGATACGATCCTTCAGGTCCATTCAGGCGCTTTGTTCCGTCTTTGGGTCGAACCAGGATCGAAAATAAAAACATGCCGACTTCAAGAAGGCACCTTTTTTTTTTGTTTTTGTGAGCACTTGTTTTTGGTGATCAGCAACAACATCCAACAGCCTCACACACACACACACACACACACACACACACACACACACACACACACACACACACACACACACACTGGTGGCCATATGTTTGTCAAGCATTTGGGTCAGAACCCTGAAGTCTTTATCTTCTAAAGATGAAATGCTCCAGGTGTGGGCGGGCCTTGTTCTTCTCGTGCTGTAACGTGATCAGAGCCGGCATCATCATCATCATCATCATCATCATCATCATCATCATCATCTATGAAGTCACAGTGGACTGGACGGACCCTCTTGTCAATAACCACAAAATGTTCATTTTAATTAAATTAAGGTGTGTAAATATAAGTATATGTTGTTTTTGTTTTCTGTTTTTTTTACTTTACAATAATGAATCGCACTTTGTCATAACGAGATACTGTTATACTGCATTGTACTCGCACTATTGTCGTCAGTCTTTCTTTGAAAACATCATCCTATACGTGACTGCTAACATATAAATCCAGTACGCATTTCGTTGATTATATGCATCTCCGATAAATACTGTCGTTCTGTTTCCTACGGCGAAGCATTGTAAATAAACGGAGAGAGAAGCTGTGGCTTGCTGCTGCGGTCTGGTGTCGAGCAACGCATTCGCCCGTCATTGTAATATAATTGACACTCGAGCGCCCGGTTCTAACTCAAATCTGACAACACGAATTGTTACAGGAGCACGAACAAAAAGTCCGGTTTCATTGGGAAGGCGGAGGGCCGCGAGCCCGCCACCCCGCGGCGGGTACAATGCAATCAGAATGTACATTGTGTTAATGCTATTTTTCCTTTTTGGTTGTTGATGTTGTTTTAAACGTGGAGATATTTTATTGCTTGTCTGTTATGTTCACTTTTTTTCAATAGAAAACTCATATTTTCTTTATGCATGAAATCTGAGAACGTTTGCCATACATATAGTCAGTTATTGGGCATTGATACTGTACATGTAAGGGTTTTATTGTGTTATGCAATATAAAGCAATTTGTCTTATTTAGAAGAGGAACATGTAATTGAAAAAAAAAAAAGCAACAAGTCGTGTATTGTTCTTAAGAAAAATAGCTTCACACTTTCAATAAAAAAAACACAAAAGACAACAAAAAAAAAAGAAGAAAAAAAAAAATCAATGCAATGCTGGACAACCTCAAGTGCCTGGAGGTGGGCGACGGGTTTCCAGAGAAGGACGGCTGATGATGGAGCTGCTGGCTGGCGGCGGGGCGTCTTATCAATTTACTGTTTGCAGGTTTCAGATTAACAGCCCCTCCTCGCTCTGCACTCCTTCTATCAGTGTTCCTAAATCCAACCAGTTTACAAACCTTTTCTTTTTTCAGTGCAGAGAACAATTGAACAAATGCTAAGACGCTTAAGGCTTTTTTTTGTTTTTGTTCTGAATGAGTGCTTTTTTTTCCTCCTTCATTTGATAACGATGATATGCATGTTCAGACAGTTTTTATAGAAGATCTTTGAAAAGCCACTTGCTTCGGTGAATTGTTACTTTGGGTTGTACATAAAGACTTAACTGTTTATTCCCAGTTTGCTGGCTCGTCCCCGAGGCGGACACGTCGAGGATAATAACGAGGGCGTCGGCCCGTTTCTTATCCCGCATTACCGACGTGGCGCGGAGAACAACACTGCATCTGTGACTTTGGCAGAACTAAAATTGGTACCTTTTGTAGTTGTTTTTACACTCAAGACGAGTCGATAGCCGATGTGTAGTTTACGTTACTCATGGTTTTCTACAAAAAAAAAAAAAAAAAGGGAGACAACAATGACATTTGGCTCTTCGCTCCCACGCGACAAGAAAAAAGCTGTTTAACGACGTCTTGTTTTCTAAAGGAGAATCATTTTGCTAAATAATGGGCAGTAAAGCAGCAATAACAGTCCATATGAATAGACAAATACTAGCCAGTGTGAAGATTTGAATAAGGATTTACAAATGTAAATATTTTTTCATTTACGATATTGTATAATATATGTACATGGTGTTTCCTTTTTCAAAAAGAACTCTTTTCTTACAATAGCTGTCTTGTTTTGTTTTTGTTTTTATTTTTTGAACTTGTGTTATAACGGAGACGTTTCAGAACCAGTTAATGCAGTGCGTAAGAGAATATCCCCACATAAACATGTTAATCCACTTCTTTTTATTTTCTTTTTTTTTACTGTAGAGTCTTTATATTGAATGACTTTTTTCACCAGTTCATATATATTTTTAACAGTATGTTCAGAACCAGATAGCGGACCTGCAGTACGGCCCGCACACACACACACACACACACACACACACACACACACACACACACACACACACACACGCCACCTTGCAGATTGTTTCTCCCTCATCCTCATGTATCGTTTTAGCCCTGTGCTGCTGCTAATACTATATACAATTCTAGAAATATTTTTATGTAAGAGGTAAGCTTTCCCATTTATTAATGCCACATATACAGTATGGAAAAAAAAAAGCTTGGCTTATTCATCTATCTCCTTGTTTCCTTCATCTTTTCACGCCTTTCTCCTCCTCCTCCTCCAGCGACACTGTTCCCTCTCTAACGACACGGACTATATTGTAAAGTAAAGGACTTTATGAGATTATGTTTGAAAATAGCTATGCTTATATACTACAGTGACTGAATGTACAGTGTATAGATGCATTACCAGAAATAAAGTTGTTTGTCCAGATTGAATGACCCACTTTCTTATTTGTGCTGCCTCTTTGGGAAATGATCTAAACCTAATTATTCTGCAGATCTTGCAGACTGAGTGCTTTCTGGCTTCACTTGCTGATACATTCAGTTTAGTCGTTTCAGCAAAAACTGTTTGTTGTCCAAGGAGGAGGTCTCTGCTTCAGCCTCAGTGTTTGGAGGAGGTTTGGTTAAACTACTCAGTTGAAACCTGAGGTGTTAACGTCTCCTTCAGGAAATCTGTGCAAAGAGGAAACAAGGACCAGCAGCTGGTGTGGGTGAAGACGTCGTAGTCGATGATGGGAGAAGGTCCTCTTCAGCAGCAGAGGTTCTCAGGAGGCCCTTTTGGTTCAGCAGAGATGCAGGAAGAACTTCTCAGGTTCATTTTTCTTCGAGCTTGATCACAGAAGTGACAGATTTTGCTGCAGGATGTGTGACGGTGACGTCTGGATTCCTCCTGCTGACAGCAAGAGATGCTCCTGATACGTTCAGGTCTGATAGAGAAGCAAAAGACTGGAGGTCCAAATGACAAACACTAAAGCCAGAGCCCACCCGGATCGATGGGGGAGATTCTGAACATACAAATACGTGTTTACTGTGAGACGAGCTGCAGCGGCTCACACGACCCAAAAAGACAAAGGGAGCGTTTTCATCAGCCTTCCTGACTGAAGGAAATCAGAAAAACGTCACAACAAAGAGGTGATCAGCTGACGAAACACTCGCTGCTCTTCTGGTAAAACAAAGTTCCCGTCCAGATGTGACTGAGCACCAAACAACACATTCTTCATGTTTCAGCCTCTCATCCGGTCTGTGTACACAGATCTGGTTTTAGGGCAGCTGCAGGAGAAACCTCCATAATTACTGTGAAAACCTTGAAAAGAAAAAGATGAGCTGCAAACACTTAACTAGAAAGGAATGTACACTAGGCTCCAGTGAACGCCCACTCAGCCTGACAGCATTCGATGTAAACATTCATTAGTGTGAGCACACAGTGGCCGTGCAGCTCAGCAGAGGTTAGCTGCTGGTTGGGCTGCTCAGCATCCAGCGGACGAGGAGAAAACTTCTGGTCTGATCAGCCTTTACACACTCTGTAGGACCTTCTGAACCTGTTCTCATTGTTTTCAAAATACAAACAAGTGAGTACAGACTCTCAATTTGTTAACTTTAAATTACAACAAAGAGAACGCCAGATAAGAAAAGACAACAGCAACAACGGACCACGAGAACTCTACGACCCGGGCCACGGGCCACGGGCCGCTTCAGAACAACAGTAAAGGAGCCACACCACTGCTGTTGTCAGGACTGCTGGTTGGGTGGTGGGAGACGTTCTGACGTTAAGTTAGCCTAACCTAGGGGGTCTCAAACTCAACTGACCTGGAGGGAGACTCAGGGTGAAGGCAGGTTCACCTGGACAGGTAACCAGTCTATCACAGGGCTACACTTAGAGACAGACAACCAAGCACACTCACATTCACACCTACGGACAATTTACAATCACCAATTAACCTCAGCATGTTTCTGGACTGTGGGAGGAAGCCGGAGAACCCGGAGAGAACCCACGCTGCACGGGGAGAACATGGAGACTCCACGCAGGAAGATCCCGGGTGTCCTCACCGGGACGCCAACCAGCGACCTTCTAGCTGTGAGGCCACGGTGCTGACCACTAATCCTCCTGCAGCCCAGTTGAAACCACCAGTCAGTTGGTGAATTGACAGAAATCAGCGTATTGACTGATCCACAGTGAAAACAATCATTAGCTGCAGTTGGACAGAAAACAGTTCAGAATGAGCTTCACCTCCACCTGCAGCTAGACCTGCCTCCATGTGCCAGTAATCAGGATGTCATCAGGTGTTCAGGGAGCTTGTGGTTCAGAAACATCTACCAGGAACTGTGAGGTTCTCATGTGGACAAGCAACATCTTCTGTTCCCAGATCAGCATGTGGACGTCTTTCCTCAGACCCACACAGCTGGAGCCTGACTGGGATCATTTAAAACTCAAACACAAACCGTTTCTAGGATGGTTCAGGCGTGCAGTCACAACTCATCTGCTGCATGGTTTTATGGCGCTCTCGTTGCATCACTGCTCGGTTCTCGTAGCGTTCTGTATAAATTGTGTGTTTGCTTCTGTTCCTAATGGACTTTGTTGAGTTTTATGCATCATAAAGGCTCATGTGGGGCCGACCGCTGCAAACCAGCCTGTAAACGCTGTGGTGTGTCTTTCTATACGCTCCGTCCCTACAGAGGGAAACGTCGAGTAATTAAAAGAATGCAGTCAATGCTTCCACAACACAGCAGCGCCGTGATGCTCGTACGCATCATGTGCAGGAGTCTCATAACAACCGCTGCTCATGAGTGAGGAGGAAATCAGTGACCCAGAAAATGTACGGCTAAACAGTTCCAAGAGCAAAACCCAAATGCAGTACCATTAGGGGGAATGCTTTTCTTCACAGAACTCAGAGAATGTTGTCTGAGTCCGTCCTCGCTGTCTGAGCCGTGGGTCCAGGCTGGTTGGAGGCAGCGCTCTGGTTCCTGCTGCGGCCCACATCCTCAGCGTGGTGTAGGCCGGCCTGTCAGACAGCCCTCAGCTCCTCTCAACCAGCAGCAGCACCACCACCACACAGGGCTATTGACTGACCCAATTACAGCAGTCACATGAGGAAGAACGCCCCGCAGTTAGCTCATTAGTCTCTGGAGCCTCCATGCAGCTCTTCAGTCTTACTCTGCCTCCACGTCTCCTGCTGCGTTATAATGTACAGTCAATTACTAAGTCATGTTTAATTCATTTAGTGCAGTTTGAGGATTTTTAAATGTTTTCTTTTTTTATGAACAGGACAGACATTTTCACATGGAGCACATTAGCATATCTTTCAGCTCCAGAATGGTTTTAGACATCCGTGTTATTTACATGTAAATGGTGGACGGACGAGGCAGAACGGCCCTCAATGGAATGGGCTCCAGTACAACAATACCACAGGTAATGACCTTCATGTTTCCATCGAGTCCAACCAACAGTCTGATGAATGAACACCCTGCTTAATGCAAGAGACCCGTTATCAGCAGAACCAGGATTCATGACTTGGTTGTATTCAGTTGCTGCAGGTTGTAGGATCAGTGCAGGGCTGCATACGAGTGGAGATTTTACACCCATCAGAGATTCTGCGATCCTGTTAACAGCATGCTAGTTAACCTTTAACTATCTCTGGATGACTGGACCATCCTGGATTCTGTCATATATCAATGAACAGGAGTGCTTTACAGCCATGGTGTTTAATTATTAGGGTCCGAGCACCCCGAACACACTTTCACGTAGAGTCACGAAATTCGGTACACACATGTAACAACTCGAGACGCACAAAAAAGCCTCAAGAACACATACCCGAAACACAACAGGAAGTCGGCCATTTTGAAAAAAA